TCCTGACTTTAGAAGGAAAACTTTCAACTTTTCCCCATTTAATGTGATGTGGGCTATTGGTTTGTCGTAAATAGCTTTTTGTCAGATTGAGATAAGGTTGTTCTATACCTGTTTTCTTCAGGGTTTTAAAAAAATCAAGAATGGATGTATTTTGTCAAAAGGCTTTTCTGCATCATGTTGATAGAATCATGTGACTTTTGTCCTTGCTTCTGGTTATGTGATATATTAACTTATGGATTCGTGTATGTTGAACCATCCTTGCACCCTGAGGATGAAGCTGGTTTGGTTGTGCTGTATGATCTTTTTTGATGATTTGTTGCATCATGTTTGCCAGTACTATATCTTGTTGAGGATTTTTGCATCTATGTTCATTAAAGAGATTGGCCAGTAGTTGTTTTTTGTTCATTGGTACCTTGTCTCTTTTAGGATCTGGGTAATGCTAGCTTCCAGGAATGACTTTGGGAATGTCCCTTCTCTTTCAATTTTTTAAAAGAGTTCGAGGAGCGTTGGTGTTAGATCTTCCCTGAAGTTCCTGCAGAATTAAGCAGTAACCCTGTCAGCATCTTCTTTTAGGTGCTAGGGTTTTTTTCATCAATTCAATCTCATTGCCTGATATTTGATTATTCAGCGTTTTTATGACTTCTGGTTTCGCTTTGGTAGTTCACACGTATCTAGGAACCTATCCATTTCTTTTGCATTCTCCATTTCATCAGAGTACATATTCTCAAAATAGTTACTAATAATCTGTATTTTGACAATCTGTTTTCATTCCTAAATGCATTGATTTGGGTCGTGCCTTTTCTTTGTTTGGTAAGATTGGCTAAGGGTTTGTCTATTTTCTTTCTTCTTTTGAAAAACCAGCTTTTCAATTCATTGACTCTTTGTATTGTTTTAGTCTCCATTTCATTGATTGCCATTCTGATCTTGTACTAGCTTTGGATTTGGACTGTCCTTGTTCTTCTAGGATCTTGAGTCCTACCACTGGATTACTTGTCTGGGGTCGCTCTGCTTTTCCAATGCGATGGTTTACAGGTATAAAGTTCCCTCTTAGGACCACTTTCATGTTGTCCCATAGGTTTTGGTATGTTGTGCTGGCATTGTCATTGAACTCTTGGAACTATCTCATTTCTTCTTGATTTCTTCTGTGACCTATTGATGATCCAAAAGGGTATTTAATTTCCATGCATTTGCATAATGTCAGTAGTTGCTTTTGCCACTGATGTCTAGTTTTACTGTGATTTGATCTGATAATATGCATGGTATAATTACAATTGTTTTGAATTTATTTAAGCATGCTTTATTGGCTAGTATGTTGTTTATTTTGGAGAAAGTCCCATGTGCTGCTGAGAAGAATGGACATTCTGTTGTTGGGGAAAACACTCTGTGGACATCTATTAAGTCCATTTGTTCAAATGTTTGGTTCAATTCTGATATTTCTTTGTTGATTGCTTGTCTATTTCTGACAGTGGGGTATTGGGGTCCCCCTCTACAATTGTATTGGTGCTTATCTAATCTTTTATGTCCAGTAGTGTCTATTTTATAAAGTTAGATACACCATTTTCAGTGGATGTGTGTTTGTAATTGTTTTCTCTTCCTGTTGAATTGTTCCCTTAACCAATATATGCAACCTTCTTAGCTGCTTCTGATCAGTTTTGGCTTAAATCCCACTTTGTTGAAAATAGGATAGCTATTCCTGCATGTTTTCTAGTTCCCATTGCATGGGATGTTATTTTCCATCCTTTGATTTTTAGTCTGTGAATTTCTTATTGGGTTAAATTGTTTCTTGTATATAGCATACCATTGGATTTAGTTTCTTGATCTATTCTACTGATCTATGTCTTTTGTTTGGAGAATTGGGACCATTCACATTGAGAGTTACTTCTGATAGGTATTGATTTATTTCTGTCATTACCTTATTTCCCCTTATTGAGTTTCTCTTTCTCTCCTACTTAACTGCTCTCCCTACCTGGTGTCTTTATTCTCTTAGTCCTTTTGGCATTGTTGGCTTCATTGTCTCTTTCTAGAATTTCCTTACGAATTTTTTGGAATGCTGATTTGGTATTCATGAAGTTCTTTAGGTACTCTTTATCATGGAAATATCTTATTCTCCATCAATTTTGAAAGATAGTTTTGCAGGATATATCAGTCCAGATTGGAAGTAGTTTTCTTTTAGGCCTTGAAACACTTTACTCCAAGCTCTCTTGGCCTCTAAGATTAGTATTCAGAAGTCTGCTGCAGTTCTAATGGATTTTCCTTTGTAAGTGATTTGTTGCTTTTGTCTAATAGCTTTTAAGATTCTGTTGTTTATTGGACTTCTGGATTTTGACTCTGAGGTTCTTTTTCTGAGAGTAGCTACTTGAGGCTCTCTGTTGCACAGCGCAGCTCTCCTCTACTAATATACAGAATTACATTGATTAATTTCCAAATATTAAATTGGCCTTGCATTTCTAGGATAAATCCAATTTGGTTGTGATGTATTGTGCATTTAGTATTTTGCTGGGTTTGATTTGCAAATAGTATTTAAGTTTTCATGATATTCTTATAATATCCTTTTAATGGCTGTATTGTCTGCAGTGATGACTTCTCTTTCATTCTTGATATTGAAATTTCTGTCCTCTCTCTCTCTCTCTCTCTCTCTCTCCAAAGAACCAGCTTCTGGTTTCATTTATTTTCTCTATTTTCTTTCTTGTTGTTTTTTCTATTTTATTGATTTGTGTTCTTAGGCTTGTCCTTTCTTCTTTTTATGCTTTTAGTGTAATTTCTCCTTTTTTCTAAGTTCTCAAGATGTGAACTTTAGATTGTTGAATCTTCTTTTCTAATGTAAGTATTTAATACTGTGAATTTAGAAGTAGTGCTTTATATACCACCCACATATTTTAATGTGCTGTGTTTTCATTTTCATGAAACTCAGTTATATTTTCCACATTCTCCAATAGATTCTTCTTTGATCTATAAGTTATTTAGAAGCATAGTGTTTATTTTCCAAATATTTGGGGAAATCCCCAAATGTATCTCTTTTCTGTTATGACCAGAGAGCATACTTTGCACATTTTAAACATTTCAAATTAATGGAGACTTACAGACAGACTATCACTTGGTCTGTCTTCATCATATCTTCATGAATGTTCCATATGTAAACTTACAGTGTATATTATGCTGTTTTGGGTGGAATGTTGTATAAATGCCATTTATAGAAGAGAGCTTCCCAGACCACGGTAGTTGATAGTATTATTAAAGTTCATGTAATTGTTAAGTTTTATGAAGTCTGTGCCATCTGTCAACAAGAGAATGGTAAAGTCTAAATACAGATACAGACTTGTCTGTTTTTCCTTTCAGTCTTATGAGTTTATGTTGAAATTTATGATCTATTTCTAGATGTGTCTACATTGAAGACGTATCTTTTTCATGAACTGATCTTTATAAGCATTATTCAATATGCACCTTTATCCTTGATAATATTTTGTTTTAATGTTTTCCCCAAGTTAATATAGCTACTTCAGCTTTCTTTTCATTAACATTTGCATGGTATAGCTATTTCAATATTTTTGCTTTTAACTTATTTATGTCCCCATGTTTTGATATATGCTATACCTTTTCCACTAATTCTTTAACATAGTAACCATAATTACTGTAAAGCCTTTGTCAAATAATATTGGATGCATTTTTTTTTTCTGGTACTGGGGATCAAACTTGGCTCATTGCCTTTGTGGGGCAGGTGACAGAACCACTGAGCTAAATCCCCAGCGCCTTTGTCAAATAATATTAACACTTGAATTATCTCTAGGTCTGGTTTCTCAACTACAATAACTTTTCTTTTTAACTTTTTATTGTCTTGAAAATTTTTGCTGGAGATAGATAAATATTATTTATGCCTAGAAATGGGCAGTTCTTCTACTGCCTACTAGTATGGAGGATTGAGCCAATCTAGTCATTAGTTGAACTAGGCTTGTTTGTTGTGGGACTGTAGTTACCTTCACTGTACCACTAACTTCCGATTTCTTTATCAGCGGTGCCTGCTGCCCTGTTCTTAGTGTGACCACTGCATGCCTGCAGCATGGAAGGCTTCCATACCTGTCTTCTTGCTCTTCTTCCAATGCTAACTTGTTTCTCAGATATGGAGTAGGGTTTGGGATTCTCTTGCCCTGTCCTCAGTCTTAGATGGCCCTGTGTGCTTGTCTTCAGAGCTGGGGCTTTCTTGGTGTTTCTGTCCCTCCACGTTGGCAGCCAGCCTCAAGACAGGTCAGTCTTGAGAGGAAGCTCTTACTCCACCCCTCTAGCAGCACACAGCCAGTGCTCTCATTCCTTGCCTAATGTTTCCTCCACTCCCCAGGCAGCCTTTCCTGTGTAGTAGAGAGGCTTCTATAACCTGTCGCAGTACTTGGGAATCCCACTGACCTAGGCCCTCAAGTCTCCTCCCCTCTCTCCATCTGTCCCAGCACAGGCTGAAGATGTGTGGAAAAGGTCTGGCGAGTGACACCGACTCCCCTGTGTCTTGGGCTTCCAGCCATAGCAAGTTCAGAGAACTGCATCCACCTTGGCTGAAGGAGGGAATCGGGCTGATACCCTCTCATTAGGGTGATAAATGTGAACATCCTCTTCCCTAGTTTTATACCCTGACCGTGATCATGATTTTTAAAAGTTGCCTGTATGGGGCCGGGGATTTAGCTCAGTGGTTTTGCCGCCTGCTGCTCAAGCGCAAGGACCCGAGTTCGATCCCCGGTACCAAAAAAGACAAAAAAAAAAAAAAAAGTTGCCTGTATGGTTTGCTTTCATACCAGACAGTAAGTCAGTCTTAAAAAAATAATGAGCAAATCTTTCTGAACAGTGATTTTATGCTTTCGGGATATCCACCACAACACTAAATGTGCTGACATTCCAGAAGAACTTTGTTTTTCATTTTATTAGCCCCAGAGTGTGACGTAAAGATACTCACTTTTGGTTGAAGTTATGCGAGTTGTTTGAAGTATAAGGATGACCCCATCTGTTTCCTGATGTTTCAGGCATCGGTGGTAACTTGGTGGCCATTCAGGCGAGCAGGATTTCTACCTACCTCCATCTCCACAGCACCCCAGGAGAGCTGCCCGAGGAGCCCAAGGGTTGTTACCACCCACTTAGGACTTTCTTTGGTCCAGGTATGTGTGTGGGACTCCTGCATATTTTCTATCTGGAACTGTTACTCTCTGAGACAGTAGGCAGGCAACGTTTGTTATGTACGGATTCTGTAAAGTTGCACAATTTTCTCTTTCTGAGAGCTAATCTCAATGAACAAATTATTCATCCATATCAGTTTGCAGTTACTGAGGATCTTTGTATAGTTTTCCTCGTCATCCTTTCTCTGGGATATCTTGTTTTGTAAGTCAGGAAAGAACAACCTAACACGCACCCAAACACACTGCTAGGTGGATTGGGAAGAGAGATGCACTCTTCTTTGTGTTTTAATCTTTTTGGCCATTCCTTTTTTTTTTTCCTTCAGCACTGGGGGTTGAACTCAGGGCCTTCAAACTGAGCCATATCCCTGCCCACCCCACCCCCCCCACTTCATTTTGAGACAGGGTCTGTCTGAGTTGCTGTGCTGCTTCTGCCTCAGCCTTCCTCCACCAGGCCCAGTGTCTTGTTGGGCTTTCTAAATGCAGGCATTGGACCTAAGCAGGACAAGGGGATAACATAAGCTGTAAGGGTCAGTGCATCATTTCTGTCAGCCAGGCACTTGATTACCGAAAGACAGGACACGATTTTAAATCTCATAATTCTTGTCACTTTTTTTCCTGGTGAAAATGAAGTATAATTATTGACTTTTGAATGAAGCTCAAAAATGCTTGGCACTGATGAAAACATTTCAGTTCTTTAAGTACTTTGTATTTTCCCTTTGATCTTCCCTCTCTTTTTATGATAGATATTAAAGTCCAACCACTGATCTTCATAGCAAGTTTTTATCATCCACCTTCACTTAATGACATATCACATAGAGGGGAAATTTCAAAGAATTAAGTGAATTGTAAATAATTGCAACTTATTCTTAGCAACTGAACCTTATGTGTATACTAACTAGAAAGTAGTATTCAAATCTGACTTTGACATATTTTTGGCCAAAATATGCTTTTGTTTTAATGGCTTTTATATTTTTTCTTCAGGAGTAAATAATAAGTCTGCCCAAGTTCTGCTGCTTTTAGTGATTCCTGGACATTTGATTTTCCTTTACACCATTCACCTGATGAAAAGTGGCCACACTTCTCTAACTGTGATCTTTGTCGTCGTGTACTTATTTGCTGCTGTGCTACAGGTAAAAATTAAAGCCTCTTGAATTGGTTTGTTTTGCTTTGTTTTGTTTTTGCTCAGAGTGTTGGAAAACTAACTGTATACAACTACAGGCACATCACGTAATGTACCATTTCAAAAATCAGCTGAATCCCTTTGTGCTGATTTGACCTTGAAACTAATAACCTCAGGGCCACTTTTCATATCATGCATTATTTAGAACCTTTGTATTTTCCATTTCCTGGATTCTGTGTCTTTCCTTTTTTGGCTCTTTTGTATGTATATAACAACCAATAAATTCTTAAGGAAGAGGGCATGGGAATACATTATTTTAAAATATTTGCCTATTATAATACATTCCACCCTCTCAGTAGGTTGATTGGATATAAAATTCTGTTTCTTGGGATAGTTTATTGTTTTGTTTTGTTTTTATTTTTTGACACAGGATCTCACTGTGTCGTTCAGGCTGGCCTAGAACTCACTGTGATCCTCCTGCCTCAGCCTCCCAAATGCTGGATTTGCACCACTATGCCTGGCATAAAATTATTCTTTTAGAATTTTGAAGACCAAAAAGCTTTATTGCCTTTTAATTCCTTGTATTACCATTGAAAACAGTCAGAAAGCATTCTCTTTCCTGACGCCATTGTATATAACTTTTATGTCCTACAAGCTTGTTAAGAACTTCTCTTTCTATTTTCCTTAAATTTCTTGTAAATATACTTGAGGTTTCTTAAATTTCATGTTGCTATACCCTGTGTATGTGTATTTTGTCTATTTTGTTTGACTTTGTCAATCTAAAAACTCAGGTTCTTCACTTTTAAGGACATTTCTTGGAATTTTTTTAAATGATAAAGTCTTTCTTTCTGGAATTTTACTTGGTTCCTGGATCTCTTGCATTAAATTTATTTTCTATCTCTTTATCTCATCTTTCGAGATGCCCATCCCTTCTAAATAGTTTCTCTGTTGTGAGAAAGGCTTTTAATTTTAAAATTTAAGAAAATTGCTTTTACTTTTCAAAATGTATGATCAGTATAATACATGTTCAAAGATTTAAAACTAAATACTATCAAAAGGTTCAAAAAAAAAAAGATTCTATCATCCCAGTTGCATTTCTCAGAGATGATCACTTTGAAATATTTTAGCTGTAAGTTTTAAGGTAACATGCCTAAACTTCAAGTTTATGATTAATCTCCTTTAGTTTTTGCTACTAAAAATTGAGAACTTGGTGGCTTTATAATGCTCTGTCTTTCCCATATAGTTATATCACAACTTTTTGTTAAACTGTTTGTCAATGTATGTTATTAGGCCTATGTAAACATTATATATGGGCAGTTAATTTACTATGGTTGTATTTCTGTGTTTTGTTGGGTTTTTTCATTTATATCATTTTCTATAAACCCATCCTTAATTTTTTTCCAACTATTTGAACTTTGAGTTCTTGGGCATGACTTCTTGCTAAACTTTGTAGGTTTGGTACCTTCTACAGTGAGAAATCCTAATCCCTTGAGATGGATTAAAATAATTATTAAAGAGATAGCATTGAGTTTGGCCTTAGAGGACTTTGACATTCAGTGATGAAACTAAAGAGTAGGTATGGGGAACAGGGAAGGGGATGTTGCCAGAACCTCAGCCGTGGCTCCTAGCCTCCTGTGAGCCGCTACAGCCCAGGATGAATTAAAGAATAGACAGGAAATGAGACTTAGAGTGGAGGAGCTGAGTCTTGGGTCCTGATCAGGGCTGCTAATGGCAGCAAAGACAAAGTCCCCCAAGCACATCCAGTATTCATTGAATACAGTCAGGGGAAGTAATAAGGAGCTGGGTGTGCTTTGAAGGCATCTAGTGAAATACTGCCAAACACCTGGCATGGTGGCACCAGGCAGGGCTCTTAGGGAGTAGGCACTGCTTATCTTGCTTGGATGGAACAAACAGGTACTGGGACCAGGTACAATCAGCAAGCAACTCATCAGGTCAATGGGAAGCCATAATTCAGGGGAAAGGATTTTAATTGGGATCACGCTGACCTCAGCTGCATATAACTCAGCAGAGTCCTTCCACTTCACAGACCAGGGCCTAGGTTTCTATTTGAGTCACATAGAGCTTCAGTCTGACTCCTGACATAAAACAACATAGCTGTATTATGGGAAGCAAGAAGCAAGTGCCACTCACAGCCAGCTAGTACTGGACAGGATGTCTGCTGTAAGTAGGTATTTAGACATTATTCCCAAAAAAACTGCACTGGTGATAAAGATGGTGATGGGTTAGCTGGCATTTACAGTGTTTCTTGTACACTGAGCACTTTTCTGAAGGCTTCCCATCTATCAATTCACTTAATTTTCACAAAATACTATGAGAGATTTGTTCTTTTTCTTTTTTTCTCTTGGCAGTGCTGGGACCAAACTCATTGCCTCGCCCATGTTAGACACTGAGCTACATCCTCAGCCCCAGGATTTGTTCTTTTGTTGTAAATCAGTGATTTTTAAAGTCCCAAACATATACAACAATGCATTGTGTATAGGAAGAAAAGATTAAAACTTCTATTTTTATTTTTTACCTCACTTAAAGTACCCATTTTCTTCTGTTTTTATGATTGCTTAGTAATAAACATATCAGCACATGTTGAATAAGTACACTCAAATATGTTGTGCTGAGGGAGCTGTGAAATCTAAGCCTCCTGGAGATGACTGAGTTAAAACACAGAAGTGAGAAAGCATAGAGCCGTGTAGAAAGTCAGTCAGAGAGAGGCTCCAGCAGAGAGGGCATGGCGGAGGGAAGTAATGACCTCTTAGGCCTGAGGAGCTGGAGGAGGTGCAGAAAGCCCTTAAATGCTGGAGGAGATTACAATCTGGTCTTCACATCAAAAACCCTTACAACCTGAGATTTGTAACTTTTCTGTAATGCTTTATAGAACCTTATATTTTATTAAGTCACCTATCAGATCATTCGTCCAATGAATCATCATTCTGTTGGGTGCAGAGATGACTCATGAGTTCTAGGGACAATAAATTCAGACCTTATTACCAAGGCTTGGAATCCACAACCTGGGGGGACCTACAACATGGGCAAGGAGTTCCAGTGTAATGCAATATAAAGGCAGGCAATGGCTGGGAATCAGGTGCTTGCAGAGCTTGGAAGAAACAGAGATGGACTTCACCTGGGAAATAATGTTTTCTACTGTTCAGTAGAGATCAAATTTGTTCCCAACACTATTTCACTGCTGGCCACTTTTATGGCAGGATATGCGTGGCCATTTATTATCACTTACATTTGATGCTCTTCTCTCTCTGTAAGTATCCTGGAAAAAGAAGCTTTCCTCCATCTGGTGGGAAATCTCACAGGCACAGCTTTGGTCTGTGGACAAACACGCCATTTCAAGAGCAGATCCCTGTTTATAACTCTGCCTCATGGGTTATTTGCCACTTACGTTTATAGTTCTGTGCCACACGCTAGCATGCATCATTTCACCAGCACCAGGGAAGAATACATAAGTAATTTCTATGAGTTTGTACAAAAATTAGATTTTGTTCTATATTCACAGTTTATCTTTTCAAAACATCTGGCCTAAACTCTCACCAGTGACAGCTAGAAGACTGGAGTTGAGGAAAAAGTAATTGTTGGTCTCTTGGGCCTCAGTTACCCCTCTGTGACATGAGAAGAGCAGTAGTGTTTATTCCACCAGCTGCTTTGAAGAGTAAGGGAGTTACTTACACAACAGTGGCTTCGCTGTAGGTGCTGTGTAAGTGTTAGTGAGGCTGTTGGCATTGAACATGGAATGTTAGTGGTGTGTGTCAACCTCTGCATGACAGCTGAGCAGGTTTCCTCTTGGTCTTATGGTGATTATTGACCTTTTGTGTCTAATACCATCTTTGTAAATTAAGGTTTTAAATTTCTGGTGTTCACATAGGAGTTTTTTCAGAGAATAATGCAACTTTGGTCCTATGGCTGTTTCTTAATTCAAGTAAAAAGTCAACTTGAGTTTGAAATTGTGTGGGATTTGAAATGGCAGAATTAGTTTTTATTTTGCCCTAGGTATGCAATAACTCCTTTAAAAAAACTTTTTAAAATTAAAAAACTTACTTATGTGCAGGGTCTGTTCCCTGGTAGTTATGTCTCCTGCCACTGACAGATTAAGGAGAAAGAACCCAGTAAAATTCTATTGTGAGACCTATGCCTTTTGTTAGCCCGCTACTCTACTAAACTGGACTCTCAAATAATGTCACAGTTACTGAGTAAATGGTCCCACGTGCCTGTTCATGTGTGCAATCAAGGGCATGATATGGGAGCTGAGCCTGAGATGTGAAGAAGGCACTCCTCCAGCATCAGCAGGGCTTTTCTGTCTCCGTCTGCATGCTCCGTACAGTGTCCTGCAAAGACGCGGACCCTGACGGGGAGGGAAGGCACAGGGCGTCTGTCAGCCCATGCCCACCTGACAATCTCGGGGAGGAGGCAACAGCAGTGCATCTTGCTTCAATTTCCCACTCAGTTGAAAGCCTCTCCTAGTTTTCCTTAGCTGTGCGGCCTTTGTGTGGGAAAAGACAGAAGCTTAAGTGTGGAGGCTGTGTCTTAGACGAGCCAAAAAGATTGCACCTAGACGGACTGAAAGGAGAATGAAGTAACTGGCTCGGTGATCTTACATGAGAACAAATCTGTGACCATTCACATTTTATTTCTTTATAATCCGCTATTGTTTCACTCATTTAACTAGAGCCAAAACCTCTTTGACTATTATAATTATCCTTTTATTGTGATGATTATAGGTACATATGGAGTATATTAATGTTTCCTGCTATAAAATATTTCAGTGGAAAAAGAAAAATGAGACTTTTCTACCCCTTGATGCCTATTGAATTCCAACAAAGTCTTTGTTCATTTGCTAAACAGTGACTTAAAATGATTTCTAAATGAAAGTTTTAATTCCCTATTCTAGCCAGTCATTGTTTCATAAGATAATTAGATTATTAAGAACCCCACTAAAATTCTAAGAGTACCAAATTCCATGAAAAATTCATTGTGAAACTTTGGTTGTAA